TAGGGGCAAGTGCTGTTAGCGAGCACCTATGAAGGCCCGCACGGCACACAAGGGGGTGGGTGGCCAACACCACGCCCGGACGCCTTTGTCTCCCCAGTGGCGATGTTTACACAGCCGCACCAGGTACTCATCTGATGCTGAGTCGACCTAGGGGAGGCCCAGGACCGGTTCAGATAAATCGTCACCGGCGTTGACCGTGAGCGGGAGTCGAACTCGGGTCGCCGGGTTCGCAGCGCAGCGCGCTAACCGCTGCACCACCGCTCCCCGCTCGCAACCACAGACCTCAAGCCACGCACCCAACACACCACGCACTGCACCTCGCCCCCCAGGAGCACACGCGACACTCCCCTCGCACACCGCACCCTCGCCCTACAACACCTCGCAATACTCTGCACAGCAAACACTTGCGCACACACCGCACACTCGACCCCGCACGCTCCAAAAAAAAAAGCCTCCACCACTCGCCTCCCACAAACGCCCTGCCGCGCACCGCATTCCACCACACAACGTCCGCTATTCACGACTCGCGTGGCGCTGACGTGACCGCAGCGCTCGCTTTGTGCCAGGCTAGGTGCACTCACTCGCGCGCGCGCACCTCCGCCGCACACCCCCTTCAAGAAAGAAACTTGTCCACCACTCACTCAACCCCTTATCAGTGCCCCCTACCTTATTACAGACCAACTCAGACCCCATTGGTCACCCCCGTGCACCTTATAAATCTCAACGTTCATCCTACAAAGTCCCATCACTAGGGAGAAACGCAAACAAATAGACAAACAAGTTGTTGCCCGTACTCAAACGGGTGTACGCCGTAACCCCCCCTCCCCCAAACTCGCCCCCCTCTCCCACAGGACCCCCCCCCTCTCTCTCACTCCACAAAAAAACACCCGCACTCCAGACACCCTTGCCAGACATTCCCCCCAAGCCCCCCCCCCCCCCCCATAAGAATTCCCTTCAAACACACCCCCGTCTACCTCCCGCCGCTCCCGGACCCCACATTGGTATGAGTCATGGGGCCGGCAAGCAAAGCGGTGCGAGACCCACGGGGTCACTTTGGGTCAAGGTTAGAGGGGAAGGGCGACCCCTTGCTCACTAAGGAGGTGCTGTCTGATTTTGGGAATACGGTGTAGTATTTTTTTTTGCTGGAGGCGGTATTGAGTATTGTGTTGTGGTGGAGTTGGGGGGCTTTGCATTGTTTGGGAATGGGACCTCTGTTTTGGCTGGGCGGGGGGGTATACCTCTGTGGTTTGGGGGTACAGCGTGGTTTCTACTGCTAGTGTGTGTATATTCGTGTGTATCTTTGTTTCTGCGTATCTCCGTATCGATCTGTGTGTGTGTGTGCGTATTGGATGAGTCATTGGTGACAATCTGGTCTCTTTTTGTTCTCGAGTGCCAGCTGTCCCAATTCTCGTCCGTGGACATAAACCCACGTAACCCCGGAACCCATCCCACAACCGAGTCCAGAGAGAGACGCGCGTGTGATGATGGGTGACCTGCGAGCGATTAACTAAGTGTGCGTGGTGGTTGAGTGATGGGCGAATGGCGGACTATGCTTGTTTTAATGGGTGAGTGATTTTAATACACCGAAGAATGAAACTGGTTTATTATGTTTTTCCCCTTTCTGGCAACAAAACAGGTGTTAAGTTGTTACAACACCAAACTGAAACCTTTTTATAAGGAATCATGTCTGCATTATCCACAATACTTGTGGTCAGAATGCAAACAAAAAATACTCTTATCATATATGCATTGTCCTTGTTAGACCAGAGGACGCCAAAAGGCGGTACAGCTGTACGCCGTTTGAGACGAGGCTCAAAAGAAAGCTGTCTCTGATGTGGACCAATCAGTTTCAAGGACAATGCATATATTGAGTTTTTTTGTTTACATTCTGACCACAAGTATTGTGATTAATGCACACATGATTCCTTATTTAAAAAAAAGGTTTCAGCTTGGTGTTCTAACAACTTAACACCTGTTTTGTTGCCAGAAAAAATGGTAAAAACCTATTCTTATATTTTGGTACTGGCCATGGAGTTCCCCATGATCTGGTTTGTTGAGTCGGCATTAAGCGGCACCGTTTGCCATCTCCGATTTTGCGTGGTAGCCCTGCTTCTGTCGTCGGTGGTATTCTGATTTAGCGGCACTACACGTTGAAATTACACCACAAATTACACGAGGGGGGATAGCAGCACAACATGGTAGCAGTCGCTGTCTCCCTACTGGCAGACTCTTGCCCCGGGGTCACTCTTACAAAACGAGACTCGTCCTGGCCACTTGCGTTCTCGGCCGGTTGAGCAAAAATCAACTCGAAACTTTACGTCGAGGCTGGCGAGTCAGGCGAAGGCGATGGGAATCTGACTCAAAATGTTTATTTAAGCTGGAGGAATGCGATGAGCTATGAGGCACCTTTTCTCAATGCTGTCCAGTGGATGCGTGCAGTCGACGTGGCCCGGTGGCCGGCTCTTTGGGCGGAGATAAGAGCCCAGCTCCACGTGGGGCTATAGTGGTCTGGACAAGGAGATAGGAGCCCAGCTCCTCGTGGGGCTATGATGGTCTGGACAAGAAGATAGGAGCCCAGCTCCTCGTGGGGCTATGGTGGTCTGGACAAGAAGACAGGAGCCCAGCTCCACGTGGGGCTAAAGTGGTCTGGACAAGAAGATAGGAGCCCAGCTCCTCGTGGGGCTGGTGGTCTGGACAAGGAGATAGGAGCCCAGCTTCTCGTGGGGCTGGTGGTCTGGACAAGGAGATAGGAGCCCAGCTCCTCGTGGGGCTGGTGGTCTGGACAAGGAGATAGGAGCCCAACTTCTCGTGGGGCTGGTGGTCTGGACAAGAAGATAGGAGCCCAGCTCCTCGTGGGGCTATGATGGTCTGGACAAGGAGATAGGAGCCCAGCTCCTCGTGGGGCTGGTGGTCTGCACAAGGAGATAGGAGCCTAGCTCCTCGTGGGGCTGGTGGTCTGGACAAGGAGATAGGAGCCCAGCTCCTCGTGGTGCAAGGATGGTCTTAACAAGACTTTCTTGAGAGCATTATACAGTAGGTGCAATGTGGTTGTCACGTGGCACGCTCGCGCTGTTTGTGAGCCACACACGTCAATCAAACACTGCTCCACCACCCACACCCATCCTCCCACCCACCCTCCCCCCCATTTAATCAATCTCCTTACCCGGGGCGTACTTCGTAAAGACGATCCCCGGGTCTCATTCCGAGTCAAGTTCACCTCGGCCCTGAGTCATGCACGCGGTGGCTTGGGTGGGTGATCAACATCAGCAACAGTAGCAGCAGGAGAATTCGCAGCGTCATCATCAATCTTTCACGTCATCAGCATCTTCGTCATCGTTGTCCTACACCTCATCAGCATCATGATCAGTATTATCATGCCGCTCCTATGCATCCTCTTTCTTTCCCTCCAGGTCGCCAGGTTCATAGATAGGTCAGTGCAGGCTCGTGAAGGGGAGGGCCACCCAGAACCAGTTCAGATTTCACTTGCCGCTGACGTTAGCCCTGGGCCTGGCATCGAACCAGGTTTGTCGTGCTCTCGGCCCGACCACACTTCTGCTTCCACGCTAATAAACACTGCCCACAAATCCAGCCTCTCTCCTTCTCCGCCCTCCCCCTTGCATTCAAACGCCATTCAAAATGGGTACGCACAGCAGCGATGTCCCCGGCCACAACTGGTGCTGCCTGCCCCCCACCCCCTTCCAGCCCTCACGACCACAACTGGAGCCGGATGCCCACGGCTGACCTTGGCGTGTGTGCGGGCACACGGGCGTGTTGTGTACGGGCGTGTTGTGTGCGAGCGTGTTCCCGCCCCGCGCACGCGCGCGTGTTTTCGTAGGGGAGCGGTGGCGCGGCGGTCGGCGCCACTACGACACGAGCCCCCCTGTCGACGCGGAGTTCGATTCCCGCTCACGGACGCCACCACCGGCCAGTGGCGATTATCTGAATCTGGTCGTGCGCCCCTCCCCTAGGTCGACTCTGCCTCAAATGGGTGTCCGTACCTGGTACGGACAAAAATCGCCACTGGGGGAGACACCCGGTGTTCAGCCTTCGTAGATGCTGCGAGCTCACAGCACTCGCCCCAAACGGCCTGTTGAATGTTTGTGCGCTACGAACCTGGCGGGCCGGGGTTCGATTTCCGCACACGGCCAACCGGTCCTGGGGGCATCCCAGAGGTCGACTTGGCCTCAAATGAGTACCTGGTGCGATATGTAAACATCGCTACTAGGGACTCAAAGGCGGCCGGGCGTGGTGCTGCCCACCCACCCCCTCGTATGCCGTGCCAGCCTTTATAGGTGCTCGCTAACAACGCTTGCCCCTACAGTCTGTTAAGGCTATACGGGGGATCTTTGTGTGTGCTCCTCCCCCCCCCCCCCCCCCCCCCCCCCATGTGTCTGAGTGCGCGCGCACGTGTTTGTGTTTTTGCGAGCGTGTTTACGAGTGTCCAGGAATGCGTGCGTGTGCATTCGTGCGTGCGGGTGTAAGTGTTTACGTGCCAGCTCGATCGCTCGGTTAACCCATCACACCTACGTGTGTCCCATCGGCCACCACCTTCCACCAGCGAGCCTTTGGGGCGCACCCAGCCTGGCACACGCGGCGGGGTGAGCCAATTGCCACTCGGTAACAAGTGGTGGCTACTTTTGTGCGTGTGCGTGTCTGTGCAGGTGCGCGGTAGTGCAATGGCTATTAGCACACTTTGCCACGAACCCAGAAAACCGAGTTCAATTCTCGTTCGCGAACAATAACAGTGGTGGATGTTTGAACCCGTCCTGGGCCACCTCTAGGTCGACTCGGCCTTAAACAAAGTATCCCCCGGTGCGGTGTGTACACATCGGCATTGGGGGAGACAAAGACGGACCCGGGCGTGGTACTGGCCTCACCACCCCACTCGCGTGTCGTGGCCGGCCTTCCGTATACAGGTGCTGCTCGCTAACGGCGCTTGCCCCCCCCCAACCCCCCTCTTAAAGACTACACTGTGGGGGGGATCTTTGTCTCTTGTGCAGGTGAGAGCGAGGTGTTGGCGAACCTGCGAGCCATTGCGGACAAGAACCAGGTTTGGCGATCCTACATCGGCATGGGTTACTACGGCTGCTGCGTGCCGGCTGTCATCCAGAGGAACCTGCTGGAGAACGCCGGATGGTACATGCACCGGCACACAAAAAAAAACCAGAAGGCCATCGCCACCAGCGCCGTCGTGGCGAGCCGTCGCCGTTGGTCCACCGTTTTTATTTGCATCGCAGCGATAAACCTCCGCCACTCGTGACGACGCGGTTATTCTGGGCTTGACCACCTGGACGTGAAATTGTAGCCGTTGCATCAGGCCACCCTACGAAGGAAGAAGAAGATGGCCCACCGCTGGACCGAGGGCCTCCCTACTGGCCACCATCGCCATTTTTCTCGGGGCCCAGCGCCGCCGCCGAGCCTGACTCGCTGCTGTGCCACGCGGACTAAGTTCAAACTAAACTATTAAACTTTTATTTATTTTACCAGGCAAGGCCCACTTGAGCTTTATAGCTCTCTTTCGGAAGCGAACTGACTGTCACAAATAATAGCTCCAAGGTAGTGACTTACCATGTGGACATTAAAAGCAGTCGAATAACTCTTAATGCACGTTGATCCTAAAGTGGAGGGGAAAATCGGAGGACCCAGAGAAAAATGAATGCTACCTCGGGGAGAGAGACACCGCAAACTCCAAATATACAACAGGCGTCAGGGTCGGGATCGAACCCACGGCCTCCTGTATACCAGGCGAGGTAGTTAACATCTCCTAGCCACCGCGATAAGCTGATCTCGCCGTCGCCGCGGAAACTTTCCGCGGAGGGAGGTCGACCTCCCTGCGCCGAGTCGTCGTCTGTCTCCTGTTCCATTGTCTTATTCTCTACCTGATGGAGATCGTGGACGCGTTTTGCATTCCGGCAATTTCTGATGGGGTGAGGCTCTCCATCGTTAGCGTGTTGCATCGGGCCGCATCTTGAAGATGGTCCATCACCACCGGATTTGGGAAATGGGCCATCCTCCGTGTCGTGCCATCGCGACCGTGATGCACTGGCCCGCGGCAAGGTTGCGTGGAATGCAGTCAACTGTGTGATCTTGGCGAACGGGCGAAGCAGGTTTGAATCGGTTAAAGCTTTGCATGGGACATTATTATCACCAGAGCTATAAGTATAGGGGTGTAACGATTTGCCCCCACTCCCCCCTTGCCCCCCGGCGATTTCATTGACTCTGGCAGTCAAGTTGTGCGATTGTAATTCCAAGAATTATAAATATGGGTTTTATCGCCACGTGATGAACATTTGTTTCTATTGGATGGCTGGCATCGTGGGTTGGTGGGAAAAAAGGGGCTGCCTCCTCGGCTGTGTCTTCCAGAAGTCACTTGAAGGGATCTCAGAAGTGGTTCTGTGATATCCGCTTCTGCGGGGGCCAGTCTCGGACGTAGGGTGGTGGCACTGCCCCCTTGCGAGGTTTCCCCAATGGATTCTTCCTCTCTTGGGGTACAAATACAAAAACGATACAAATGGAATCAATCTTGATTTGAAGCTTTCGTGACTGCAGGAATCCATACTCTTTGGTTCTTTCGGTAAAGTCGCGTAGTAGGCAGAAATAAAATAAAACAAATGGCAACGTTTCGATCGCAACACAAGCGGTCGTCATCAGGCCAAACAAAGTCTAACAGCGACCGCTTGTGTTGCGATCGAAACGTCGCGATGTATTTTATTTTACGTCTAAACTGCGCGACTTTACCGAAAGATGCAAATGGAAGTTGTGCGAGGTTAAAAAAAAAAACGGACGGCCTAAGTTTCGTCCCCCTGTTTCTCCGTTTTCTGGCTCGTTTCTCAAGTTTTGTTCCATCCATTAGCCTGAATATATTAGAAAATCGTTTGCGTCTGATTTGAATATGTCGGGGGGAGAGAGAAACGCATAATCAAATCTTTGCACTGTCCATTCGAGACGCGCCAATTACTCGTGAATGGAATTCATAAATCGTCTCGAAGCAGGACCATCTCGGTTAAGGGTTTACAAAATGTATGTATGTACCTTGAACTTCTTTTGCACTGTACGTAGCCAACCAATGCTAATAGGAGGTGCGACATGATTTTTAGATTATTTTTTTACGTGATTTTTGGTCTGAGCTTGGCTGTGTTCACTCCAGCGCTGTCCTCTAGACAGTCTGGTCCCTTCACCTGATGAAGGCCACTTGTGTTGTGGCCGAAACGTCGTGATTCTTGTTGTTTTATTTTTTACCTACGTGACTTTACCGAATAGAACCAAAGAGTATGGATCCTTGCAGTCACGAAAGCTTTAAATATAGAATTAAATCAACAATGGTTGTCCTGTGGAGAGACTTTCCGCCGTCATAGGAACATATAATTTCCAACACTGGCTCAGGGCTGTAAACGGAAGATGAACGTCAGTGCTTCACCTCTGATGAGCATGGTTGGCTACGTACGGTGCACAGGAAGTTCAACATACACGCAAGCAAATCACTGCGACTTGTTCGTTTTAATTACTCGCCAGATCGCCGCACCTCAAGGCGCTACTGCTGCTGGTGGTGTTGACACTGGGAGTGGTGGTGGTGTTGACACTGGGAGTGGTGGTGGTAGTGGTGTTGTTGACACTGGGAGTGGTGGTGGTGTTGTTGACACTGGGTGTGGTGGTGGTGTTGACATTGGGAGTGGTGGTGGTGGTGGTGTTGACACTGGGAGTGGTGGTGGTGGTGGTGTTGACACTGGAAGTGGTGGTGGTGGTGGTGGTGTTGACACTGGAAGTGGTGGTGGTGGTGGTGTTGACACTGGGAGTGGTGGTGGTGGTGGTGGTGTTGACACTGGGTGTGGTGGTGGTGGTGTTGACACTTGGTGTGGTGGTGGTGTTGACACTGGGTGTGGTGGTGGTGGTGGTGTTGACACTGGGTTTGGTGGTGGTGGTGGTGGTGTTGACACTGGGTTTGGTGGTGGTGGTGGTGGTGGTGTTGACACTGGGTGTGGTGGTGTTGACACTGGGTGTGGTGGTGGTGTTGTTGACACTGGGAGTGGTGGTGGTGTTGACACTGGGAGTGGTGGTGGTGGTGTTGACACTGGGAGTGGTGGTGGTGTTGACACTGGGAGTGGTGGCGGTGGTGGTGGTGTTGACACTGGGAGTGGTGGCGGTGGTGGTGGTGTTGACACTGGGAGTGGTGGCGGTGGTGGTGGTGTTGACACTGGGAGTGGTGGCGGTGGTGGTGGTGTTGACACTGGGAGTGGTGGCGGTGGTGGTGTTGTTGACACTGGGAGTGGTGGCGGTGGTGGTGTTGTTGACACTGGGAGTGGTGGTGGCGGTGGCGGTGTTGTTGACACTGGGAGTGGTGGTGGTGGTGGTGTTGTTGACACTGGGTGTGGTGGTGGTGTTGACACTGGGTGTGGTGGTGGTGGTGGTGGTAGTGGTGTTGACACTGGGTGTGGTGGTGGTGGTGGTGTTGACACTGGGTGTGGTGGTGGTGTTGACACTGGGTGTGGTGGAGGTGGTGGTGTTGACACTGGGTGTGGTGGAGGTGGTGGTGTTGACACTGGGTGTGGTGGAGGTGGTGGTGTTGACACTGGGTGTGGTGGTGGTGTTGACACTGGGTGTGGTGGTGGTGGTGGTGGTGTTGACACTGGGTGTGGTGGTGGTGGTGGTGTTGACACTGGGTGTGGTGGTGGTGGTGGTGTTGACACTGGGTGTGGTGGTGGTGGTGGTGTTGACACTGGGTGTGGTGGTGGTGGTGGTGTTGACACTGGATGTGGTGGTGGTGGTGGTGGTGTTGACACTGGGTGTGGTGGTGGTGTTGACACTGGGTGTGGTGGTGGTGGTGGTGTTGACACTGGGTGTGGTGGTGGTGGTGGTGTTGACACTGGGTGTGGTGGTGGTGGTGGTGTTGACACTGGGTGTGGTGGTGGTGGTGGTGTTGACACTGGGTGTGGTGGTGGTGGTGGTGTTGACACTGGGTGTGGTGGTGGTGGTGGTGTTGACACTGGGTGTGGTGGTGGTGGTGGTGTTGACACTGGGTGTGGTGGTGGTGTTGACACTGGGTGTGGTGGTGGTGTTGACACTGGTGGTGGTGGTGTTGACACTGGGTGTGGTGGTGTTGACACTGGGTGTGGTGGTGGTGGTGGTGGTATTCACAATACAAGCCCCGTGGAATCTTCTTGTTCCGGGCACGCTTGGTTTGTGGATCTCTGGGTGCGGCATCTGAAACAATTGGACGAGTTACGTGGCGTGTGGAAGAGTAGGCCAAATACCCTCGAGCTGGTCACCTCCGGATGGAAATCCAGTCCGCGTCTCGCCCTCGGCATCTCGTCCTCCGTGTCTGACCCGTTGCCCGTGTCCCCGCGTCTCCCCAGGCTGACCCAGTACACGCCCTACCAACCCGAGGTGTCCCAGGGCCGCCTCGAGTCGCTGCTGAACTTCCAGACGATGGTGTGCGACCTCACGGCCCTCGACGTTGCCAACGCCTCCCTCCTGGACGAGGCCACCGCGGCCGCCGAGGCTATGGGCCTGGCCCACAGGTGAGGGCCTCGGGAGGCGGGGTGGGGGGAGAGACGATAACACAACTGGAATGGTGAACGGAAGGTCGACCAGCCAGGGCTGGCAGCCTGGCGAGTGGTGGTGATCGCTCGCCCGCTGGGTGGGGGGGGGCTCAAGGCAGACATTAAAAAAATGTTCATTGAAACATTTCACCTGGATAATGTATTTATGCATGTTGAACTTCTTTCGCGCCGTACGTAGCCAACCGTGCGGGAAGGACAACGAAACTAAATGCACGAAAAGAACGTAAACGCAAAAAGAATCACTCCCAGATGGAACATCTCGCCCTGTTTGCAAGGGTTGTTGAGCAGGGTGTAAAATGACACGCACGGCAAACAGACGTGACGACACGTGCACCGTCACGTCTATACAGATGTGAAATACAGTCACCAGGAGTGTCCAGTGACGGCAGCGCCCACAGTTAGCGCGGTTGGCTACGCACAGTGCAAAAGAAATTCCAACGCACGGTGCGTAGGGGACGAGGCGGAGCGCACGAACGTTCACGTGGCAGTCGCGCGCTAAGGTGGGACGTCTGTTGAAAGGTGGACGCATTTGGGGCATTGGTGTCGTACAGAGAGGTGGACTCGCGTCAGTGCCGGGTACACGCGTAAAGAAATGGATGTGCGGTAGAGCGGTCGGCACATTTTTTATATCGCGGTGGGGGGGGGGGGGGGGGTTAACAATGAATAGAATGGTGGACACCTTGATGGGGACACGGTGAAGGGGGCACGTGATCTTTTTGGACACGTGTTGAGGTGGATGTGTGGTGACGTGCAGACGTGCGGACGTGTGTCGCAGGCTGAACAAGAGGAGGAGGTTCCTGGTGGACTCGCGCTGTCACCCGCAGACCATCGCCGTTGTGCAAACGAGAGCCGAGTACGACCTGCACACATAAGTTGTAATGACAACGACGATGATGATGATTGTGCTGATGATGATGCTGATGAACGTGGTGGTGATGAAGATGGTGGGGAGTGTTGGCATTGATGTCAATGGTTAAGATGTTGTTGATGATGATAGCAACGATGACATTTATTGGCTAAAACTCCAGCTCCCAGAATGCAGATATCGATGGTGGTGATGATGATTATTCTTGGTTCTTTTGGTAAAGTCACTTGACTTTACCGAAAGAACCAAGAATATGAATCCCTGCAGTCGCAAAAGCTTTAAATTAAAAAAAACTGCTGATGATTGTGATTGGTGGACTCTATCTGTGGCAGGTCTATCGGCGTGCAGGTGGAACTGGTGGACGCCTATGACCTGTCGAGGGTGGACGAGGGGGTGAGCGGCGTTCTCTTCCAGTACCCGGACACGGAGGGGCTCGTGCGGGACCCTTCGCTCATTGTGGAGTGGGCACACAAGAGTGGGGTGGGTGCCACACCGCACCTGCAGCTGCACCTGCACCCTCCCCTGCACACACCTAGCACATTCACACAGCTAGCACCACGCACCTAGCACATTCACACAGCTAGCCCATTCACGCACAGCTAGCACCACACACAGCTAGCACATTCACACAGCTAGCACCACACACAGCGAGCACATTCACACAGCTAGCACCACACACAGCTAGCACATTCACACAGCTAGCACCACACACAGCTAGCACCACACACAGCTAGCACAACACACAGCTAGCACATTCACACAGCTAGCACATTCACACACAGCTAGCACATTCACACACAGCTAGCAAATTCTCACACAGCTAGCACATTCTCACACAGCTAGCACATTCACACACAGCTGGCACATTCACACACAGCTGGCACATTCACACACAGCTAGCACATTCACACACAGCTAGCACATTCACACACAGCTAGCACATTCACACACAGCAAGCACATTCACACACAGCTAGCACATTCACACACAGCTAGCACATTCACACACAGCTAGCACATTCACACACAGCTAGCACATTCACACACAGCTAGCACCACACACACAGCTAGCACCACACACACAGCTAGCACCACACACCTGTACATTCACACACCTGTACATTCACACACCTGTACATTCACACACCTGTACATTCACACACCTGTACATTCACACACCCAGCACCGCACACCTGTACATTCACACACCCAGCACCACACACCTGTACATTCACACACCTAGCACCACACACCTGTACATTCACACGCCTGTACATTCACACGCCTGTACATTCACACGCCTGTACATTCACACGCCTGTACACTCACACACCTGTACATTCACACACCTGTACATTCACCCACCCAGCACCACGCACCTGCCTCCCCCCACCCTCCGCCCTGCACACGCCCTTCACCCAAGGCCCGCACACACCTTCAATCAATCAATAAATCTTTATTTTGCGTGCCAATGTCGCCCTCAATAAAGTAGTGCATCGCCACACAATACAGCAGAAGGTTGAACGGTTACAGGGGGCATAGAGCAAACAGGGATGAGAAAAGGAGCCCGTCACCACCTTAGGCGTCTTACACCGAACAGCACAACGTCAATTGCAACCTGCGTGCAATGAGCAGCGTAAGCTCGGTAAGTAGTCAATAAACTAATTGATAATTCAAAGAAACTGGTTGGTTTTGCACATCCCTCCCCCCCCCCCTCCCCCTTATTAAACGTTAGATTTCATGGGAAGGCAAGTCTGTACAGGTGTGTGTGTGTGTCGCACATACCACGGGAATCGAGTGACGCTCGTCGCCAGATGTTTGAGGCTGCTCTCGGGACCGCTTTGTGGGCCCGCCTGCCCCCCGCCTCTCCGGCGTCGGGCGGACAATCCTTTGGCTGGCCAAGTCTTGCCATTCCCGTGGAACGGAGTGTGCAGAATGTGCCTGAGAACTCGAGGGAGGATGCGGTTTTGCAGGTAGATTGGGGGGAGGGGGACCCAAGCCACGCTGTGCTTTTTATACGTTAGGAGACTCATGCCCCCAGGGGCTACGCTTGCAAATGAGACTCTTCCAAATGTCTCGAGTTCTCACCCTGGCTACATAAAAATCCAGTCGCGCTCGCTCCCCATCGCAATCGATGACCCACCCACCTACCCCCACCCCACCATCTCATTCACTCACTCAATCACTCATCCGCTCACTCGCCCACTCATTCTTGCAAATCAGATCCAACGTGGTCCCGTGAGTTCTCTCTCTCACCTGGTTTGAACAAAAATGCTATACCCCTGCCGCACCATTACTTGACCCTGCTGCTGCTACTGCTGCTGTCTTCCTGCTGCTGTTGCAGGCGCTGGCGGTGTGCGCCACGGACCTGCTGGCGCTGTGCGTGCTGCGCCCCCCGGGGGAGCTGGGCGTGGACATCGCGCTGGGGAGCACGCAGAGGCTGGGGGTGCCGCTGGGCTACGGGGGCCCCCACGCCGCCTTCTTCTCCGTGCGCGAGCCCCTCACTCGCCTCATGCCCGGCCGCATGGTCGGGGTCTCACGGTACGCGACGATGGCGGCGCGCAAAGACAACGCGGGAAGACACGTGGCGCACGCGCGCGTCAATGCGGCACGCCCGGGTCAACGGGCGGTGTCGCATTGCGCTCGTTGGCACACGTGTGCTCGTTGGCACACGTGTGCTCGTTGGCACACGTGTGCTCGTTGGCACACGTGTGAACACGTGCCCATCAATGTATGCGGTGTTCATGGCGATCGTCCTGCATTGAATGAGCGTGTTATGATGATGTTGTTGTTAATGGTGGTGGTGCTGTGTTGGTGCGTGATGGTGTTGATGACTGCGATGGTGGTGCTGTATTGGCGGTGTTGTGATCGGATTGATTGCTGATCATGCCGATGTGCTGGTGCTATGGTGATGAATTGATCTTGCTGTTGATGGTGTGATGATGGTGCTGTGTTGAATATGCTATATTGATGGTGCTGCGATATTACTGTGCTAAATTGTGCCGTGTCGATTGGATGCTGTGATGGGTGTTGATAATCGACCGTGGTGCTGCGTTGATGGCGGTGTGCCATGTAGGGACGTCGCCGGTAAGGAGGTGTACCGCTTGGCGCTACAGACGCGGGAGCAGCACATCCGCCGTGACAAAGCCACCAGCAACATCTGCACCGCACAGGCACGCATCGCCACCATGACGATGTTGACGATAACGATTAGCTGCGTCCTATTTTAGCTGGGTGGATCGGCCAACCGGAACATAATTCTGCATAAGGCCTACCACAGCCAGGCATGCCTCTCGTTGCTACGGCTGTGGCTGCTAGTCACGTGCTACCAACTAAATGATATCGGAGACCCGGAACCTACTTGGTGGAGCCTATGCCTGATAATGATGATTATGATGACGGTGATGCTAACGGTGGCGGCGGTGGTGGTCATTATGGCTCCAAACTGCTAACGATGGCGATTATGGTGAAAGTGGTGATGGTGATGATTTATCGTTTGTACGCGTTTAAGCGGTGCAAGGCTTTGCAGTGTGTGGCCATTTTTTGGTGTGTTGTATCTGTGGTGTGGCGTGACCCCGGTGTGGTGTGCACACAGGCCCTGCTGGCGAACATGGCTGCGATGTTCGCTGTTTACCACGGTCCCCACGGCTTGAGACACATCGCTCAGCGCGTGCACAACTCCACACTGCTCCTCGCCGAAGGTACACGCTCGCGTCTCCGCCGTGCCTCCGCCGTGTCTCCCCACGCGTCTCTCTCGCCCGGGTCTCCCCACGCGTATCTCGCCCGTGTCTCGCAGTGGTGAATAGTTGAAACTGTCCTGGGCCCTCCCCTAGGTCGACTCGGCCTTAAATACGTACGCTTTGTAAAACATCACTGGGGAGACGAAGGTGGCCAGGCGTCGGTGGTGATGGCCGCCCCATCACCTCCCGTGTGCCGTGCCGTGCCGGCCTTTAATGGGTGCTACTCACTGACGCCGCTTGCCCCCGACATTGTGAAATTCTGTATGGGGGATCTTTGTCTTGGTGGTGCAGGTGTGCGTCGCGCTGGCCACCGCCTGCACCACGGCTCGTTCTTCGACTCGGTGAAGGTGGACTGCGGCGACGCCGGGCGCGGGGTGGTGCGACGCGCCCGCGAGCGCGAGATCAACCTCCGCCTGTTCCCCGACGGAGCGGTGTGTGGCACCCCATCATCATCACCACCATCTTCATCGCCACCGTGGCATCGTCAACCGCTACCGTCGTCACCGTCGTCGCCATCACCGTCATCGGCATCACCAAAACCATCGTAATCATTCAACGCCACCGCCATCATTGCCAGAATCCTCATCGTCATCGTAAAATAACCACCATTATTACCATCATGACCATCATCAACCTTGACCTCCAATTGTTCCCCCCCCCCTCCCGCGCTACCCCTATAGCTCGGGGTGTCGCTGGACGAGACGGTGACGGAGCGTGACCTCGATGACCTCCTGTGGGTGTTCGGCTGTGAGTCGTCCGCGGTAAGAAAATCCCCAAGTTAGAAACTCCGCTTCGCCCACCCACGTTTCTCAACGGTCAGAAAGGAATTGTAATATTATAAGTCGAATAATAATCCGACTTGCACTGTAAGAAATTAAAAATAATTCAATTAGTTGGTTTACGTTCGTGCAATACTATTTTTCTATTAAGCACGCGATGACGCAGTTGTTTTTGCGCCAATTTCTCTTTGCTTCATCGCTGTAATTTCATGTGCGTTTGTTTTGCTTTTGACATTCTGGTGACCCGGCTGGCCACTCTTGCAACTGCGATTCATCCTGGTCTCATCTTCTTTGGTTCTTTCGGTAAAGTCACGTAGAATGAGAATAAAATAATAAATTGATCAAATAAAATAACACAATAATATTCTCACGACGTTTCGGCCACAACACAAGCGGCCTTCATCTTTGTGTTGTGGCCGAAACGTCGTGAGAATATTATTGTGTTATTTTATTTTATCATTTTTTTATTTTATTCTCATTCTACGTGACTTTACCGAAAGAACGAAAGAAGATGAATCCTTGCAGTCACGAAAGCTTTAAATCATCCTGGTCTCTTGAGGTCCAACATGTCCCAACAAAATGAACTTGAAATCTTGAAACGCGTTACATCTATTTAGAATCTTTTACTTAGACTCGAGGAATCCGACGAGCTATGAATCTCTTTTTTCGCACGTGTCCAGTATGTAGCCTGCGCACGTCCCATTGATCCACTCGTTCCTCTTGCTGCGTCTCGCCGTAATTCCAAACGTGCCCCCCCCCCCCCCCCCCCGCGCCTCTTTCCTCACCCTTCGGTTTTTTGTTCCGCCAGGAGTTGCTGGCGGAGGCGGTGGAGGGGGAGCCACGGGGGAGCCTCCTGCAATCTCCCTTGCGCCGCACGAGTGAATTCCTCACCCACCCAGTCTTCAACAGGTGCGTACGTACGTGCATGCGTGCATGCAGGCAATGTCAGGCAGTGGTGATTACATCGTGGGAACTGTGGGGGCAGCCAAACATGGAATGGTGGGTCGTCTCCTGGTGCGAATGTGTGTGTGTCGGTGTCTTTGTGAGTGTCCCTGTGCGTGTTGGGGAGACTCGTGAAGGATGCTACTGGGCAGTTGGAGGCAGTCGCCCTCCAGCAATAACTGAGAGCAGAGCAGCGACGCTCACAACAACGAGCGGAGCGCCGGGCGGCTAAGATTCAGCAAGTTGGCACAAGTAGGCATTACAGCTGGCGCATCTACTAGTCGTCGGAGTCGGCCAACCCATGGCACCTGAGTCTGTCCCAAGATCTCCTGTCAGCGTGCCTTCGACACTTCATGTGGCCTCAAAGTCCACCTGGCCTAGCACCAGAGGCGGGCCATCAGGTCCAGCAAGGCCTTCTCTGCTGGCCTAGAGATTGTCAAAATCAGAAAATCTTATTGTTATAATTTCATATATATTTTCATTAATGCTATATATATTTTGCAAAGTTCGCTCCCATCAGTATATTAACGCAAGTTCATTGCTACTCTCTCCCTCAGTTGCGCTGCTTCCAGTGCAGCTAATAAATTAGAGCTTTTATCCAATCAGATTTACCACCTGTGCTGTCTCCGCCTCCTCCGGGTGAAAAATCTACCCTGAGGCCTTCAGAATGTCGAGTGAATCCCCTCTGCTGTTGAAGAAAATGGGGACGATGTTGTTTGTCATATTCTTTAACCAACCAGATTCCGAGTTTGCCATGGTGGGCGTGTTCTTTTACACGCCAGAGCCTTCTAGCTGGCCTAGCCGCCTACGTCAGCATTTTTCGTGTGGCGTGATCGGAGGGCCAGTTAGCTAACTGAAGTAAAACTCGCCAACACGTAACGTAGCATCATCTAAGATTAATTTAAACTTTCTTTCATGACGTTTAGATTTTTAGATGCAGTGCTTTAGATTTTTTTTTTCTGTGGGGAAGCCTGTTGAAGCCTCATTGTGTTTTGATTTAAAGCTTTCGTGACTGCAGGGATTCATATTCCACAACAAATTTTCTTGCTGTGGTTTTCACACCTGATGATGATTGCTTGTGTTACAGTCGAAACGTCGTGAGAATTTTATTGTTTTATATTTTTATTATTTTATTGTTTCCCTTCTTCGTGACTTTACCGAAAGAACCAAGAATACCTGATTGTGTTATGTGTTTTACGGCATTTTTGCTTGCTTTGTGGTCGTACAGTATGAGTAAATGTGACTGGTTGTTGTGGGTTTGTTCTTGTTTCTTTGGTAATGACATTGATTTGGGCTACGTGATGTCTATTTGTGATGCAGCATCCTGTCGTACTGCGTACAGTATGAGTAAATGTGACTGGTTGTTGTGGGTTTGTTCTTGTTTCTTTGGTAATGACATTGATTTGGGCTACGTGATGTCTATTTGTGATGCAGCATCCTGTCGTACTGCGTAATAGTGGTACATCCTTGATGGTTTCAGTCACCAATGTATTCATGTCTCTGCAATTACTGTATTGCAACTCTTTTAAGTGTTGAGCCTCGTGTTAAATCACTTCATTCCACTCGATAAAGGTTCCTGTCACTGTGAATATGGAGTGATTACATGGAATGACAATAGCCAATAGCCCTAGTGCCATGGTGAGGTTATTCGAAGGCGGTTTAATTGCGGGAGGATAGCACTGAAGGCCTTGGTGTAAAACACATGGCCCGCCACTGCCTAGCATAGGCGCCACTTAGTGACGTCACCGTCACTCAGTGGTGAATGCCTTGTTTTGGTATTGGGGAGCGGAAGTATAGTGGTTAGCGCACTGCGCTACGAACCCGGTGACCCAGTTCGATTCCCGCTCACGGCAAACACCAGGGACGCTTATCTGAACCGGCCCTGGGCCTCCCCCAGGTCGACTCGGCCTCAAATGAGGATCTAGTGCGGTGTGTAAACTTCGCCACTTGGGAGATAAAGTTAGCCTGGCGTAGTTCTGGCCACCTACCCCCCTAGTGTGCTGTGCCGGCCTTCATAGGGCCTCGCCCACAGCACTTGCCCCAAACGGTCTGTTGTTAAAGGCTGTATGGGGATCTTTGTATTTGCTTTGTGTGTCCCTGTGTGCACGCTTGAGGGCAACATCGGGCGGTGACAATGACGTAATGTAAACGGTGGCGTCAGCCATGCATGGGGTGGGGAGTCATGTCCTGGTGTGTGCTGTGTGTGTCTTTGTTTGTGTGTGGGGAGCGGTGGTGTAGCGGTTAGCATGCTGCGGCTACGAACCTGGCGGGCCCGAGTTCGATTCCCGTCCACGACCAAAATCCGTGACGGTTATCTGAACTGGTCCTGGGCCTCCCCTAGGTCGATTCAGCCTCAAATGAGTACCTGGTGCGGTGTGTAAATGTCGCCACTGGGGAGACAGAGGCGGCCGGGTGTGGTGTTGGCCACCCAACCCTCTGGTGTGCCGTCCCGGCCTTCATAGGTGCTCGAGAACAGCACTTGCCCAACAGTCTGTTAAGGCTACACGGGGGATCGTTGTCTTTGTTGCAGTTTGCGCACTGCGCTATGAACCCAGCGCCCCAAGTTCAATTCCCGTTCTGGGCCTCCCCTACGTCGACGCAACCTAAAATGAGTACCTGGTGCGATGTGTAAAAAAACATCATCAGCACATTGCACTCAGCCTCAACATCAAGGCGGCCGGGAGCGGTATTGGCCCCTTGGTGTGCCATGCCGGCCCTCATTGATGCTCGCTTGCAGCACTTGCCCCCCGCGGTCTGCGCAGTTTACCTGGTGATATTTATCTTTGTTGCACTTTTCTCCACAGCCACCACTCTGAGACGAACCTGGTTCGCTATCTGAAGCGGCTAGAGAATAAGGACATCTCTCTCGTGCACAGCATGATCCCTCTGGTGAGTCCCTGATCCCGCTGGTGAGTCCTTGATCCCCCTGTTGAGTCCTTGATCCCTCTCGTGAGTCCCTGATCCCTCTCGTGAGTCCCTGATCCCACCGGTGAGGCCCTGATCCCACCGGTGAGGCCCTGATCCCACCGGCGAGGCCCTGATCCCACCGGCGAGACCCTGATCCCACCGGTGAGACCCTGATCCCACCGGTGAGACCCTGATCCCACCGGTGAGACCCTGATCCCACCGGTGAGACCCTGATCCCACCGGTGAGACCCTGATCCCACCGGTGAGACCCCGATCCCACCGGTGAGTCCCCGATCCCACCGGTGAGTCCCTGATCTCACCGGTGAGTCTCCGATCCCACCGGTGAGTCCCCGATCTCACCGGTGAGTCTCCGATCCCACCGGTGAGTCCCCGATCCCACCGGTGAGTCCCCGATCCCACCGGTGAGTCCCCGATCCCACCGGTGAGACCCCGATCCCACCGGTGAGTCCCTGATCCCACCGGTGAGACCCTGATCCCGCCCATACCCCTGGTGCATATGGATGGACTCATTTATTGATTGGCGTATGTGATGTGTTGATTAATTGATGTACGGACGGGCTGATTGGTTGACTGGCTGATTAGTTGATTGGTTGACGAGTTGGTTGATTAATTGGCCCATTCTATGTATGTCCCCCCCCTCCAGGGTTCGTGCACCATGAAGCTCAATAGCTCCACAGAACTCATGGTGAGTTGGGGTGGGGGGGATAGAGGTAGGAGGTGTGAAGGGGGGGGTGCTATAGGGGGTCGGGGTGTAGGGGTAGCGTCAGTTCTCATCTCTGCTTCACACGAGCTTCCACCACCGCTTCATGGACTACGGAGGGAGGGGCCTTGGGGGGGAGGGGCGGCACCAGGTGAGAGGGGGGCAAGGGGAGGGGCAATGGGGGGGGGGGGGAGTCGGTCCACCGAGAAGTGGAGCGTTCCCTTGCGTGCCTGTGCACGGCTGGGCAGTGTCATTGCAGGGAGAGATTAATGCAAGGGGAGGAGGGAGGGGGGGAAGAGGGGAGAGGAGGAGGAGGGAGGGGGGATTGAGAGATTGGCTTGACATAGAGGAGAGTGGGAAGAGTGACGCATGGACGTTGAGCGAGCGAGAGAGAGTGACGCCTGGGGAGGGGGAGGTTGTGATGAATTGAAGATGGGGGAGAAGAAATGAACTTAGAAGAAAGGGGCAGGGATGGACTGCAGTGTGGAGAGGCTGGGAGGCATGAAGAGAATTGAAGGATGGATGCAGGAGGAGAAAAGGAGAGACGGATCAAAGTCAGAAGGGAGAGATTTAATTCGGGCTGCGGCGTTGATGGAGTCTGTCCCCGCTGCCCCGTTCTGAGGGGGCGTCCATAAATGACGTCACGCACCTGGGGGGGGGGGGGGGGGGTCAGACATTTGTGACGATGTGTGACAAGGGATGGGGGGGGGTTTGAGAAATGTGACGTCACATCAAAATGCGCAACTTTAAATAAATATAGACAACACGTTCTACTTAGTTAAATATAATTTTTAATAAATGTTTTCTCCTACAACATCAGAGTGCAGCGCCACATTAAACACGCGCTACAATGACAATAGTTTAAAGCGATTTGAAACTTGTTTTATGTTTTTGGGGGGGGGTGTCTGACTTTGTGATGCCGTGTGACGACGGGGGGGGGTTCAAAAATCGTCCAAAATCGCGTGACGTCATTTATGGACGGCCCCTGACCACCGCCCCCCACCCTGCCCGTGCCCCCCCCCCCCAGCCCGTGACGTGGAACGCCTTCTCGGGGCTTCACCCCTTCGCCCCGCGGGAGCAGGCGCAGGGCTACACGCAGATGCTGTCCGAGCTGGAGCGCGCGCTGTGCGAGATCACGGGATACGACCGCATCTCCTTCCAGCCCAACAGGTGCTGGCCAACGCAGGGGCGACGCACGTCCCCCCCCCCCCCCAAAGACAAAGACCCCCTGCATAGCCTTAAGGGACCGTTTAGGGCAAGTGCTGTGAGCGAGTAGCACCTAATCTTGAAGGCCAGCACGATACACTAGCGGGTGGGTGGCCAGCACCATGGCTGGACAACATTTTCCTCCCCAGGGGTGATGTTTTTACACACCGCACCAAGTCCTCATTTGACCTCCGGTTACACACAAAGAACAAAGATCCCCCGTGTAGCCTTAACGGACTGTAGCGGCAAGTGCTGTTAGCGAGTAGCACCTATTAAGGCCAGCATTGTGCACGAGGGGCTGGCGTGGCCAGCACCGTTCGTGGCCGCCTTTTGTCCCGCCGGCTCTGATGTTTTTAAGCAATGCACCCAGCGCTCACTGTGGCCAAAGTCGACCTCTGGTAGGCCCCAGGATTGGTTCGGGCATCACTCGCCGCCGATGTGAGCCGTGGCTTGCTTTGGTTCTTCGGCAAAACCGGAAATTTGGAAGGGCATGCAAAATGTTGCCGATGTTTGTTGCGCTCGTTTCGCTCTGAGATCGCGTGGCCGCCACAGGTCGGCGCTCCGCTACTTTCGTGGTGTCCGACCGGTCGGGCAATGGGAACCGATAGTCGGCAGAGACGTCGATGACTCGGGTGGGCAATGACTAAGCCGAGGCCCGGCTCCACCGTGACGCCGCTGTGTGTTGCCGTGGTGTCGTCAGTGGAGCGCAGGGAGAGTACGCGGGGCTCGCCGCAATCCGCGCGTACCTCAAGTCCCAAGGGCAGGGCCATCGCAACGTGAGTACCCGAGCACCTGCCGTGACCCCAATCCTGACCAACTCTCACCATGGGCCCCCCCCCCCCCGCCCGAGCGGGAGGGGGTGATGGCGGTAGGGGTTATGGAGGGGGTGGGAAGGGTGACTGGGGTGGGGTTGAAGGGGGGTGGGGGTTACAGGGGAGGTGGGGATATGAGGATGAATCCCCTACCTACCCATGGGTGATGGTGGCGGCGGTGATGGTAGTGGTGGTGGCAGTAGTGGTGGTGGCGGCGGTGATGACGGTGGTGGTGATGACGGTGGTGGCAGTGGGTGGTGGTTGTGCTCGTGGTGATAGTTGCCATCACAATTGTGGTGATGATGGTGTGATGACAACAGCGTGGTGTTGATGACGGTGGCGGTCTTCGGAGCCGTGATGGTGCGTTGGTTACGTTCCAGCAATAGCTGCGGCAGCGACTACCATGGTGGTGGCAAATTCTCGGTGAAATGTGCGCGACTCTCGACATCACCCCCAGGTTTGCCTCATCCCCAAGTCGGCTCATGGCACGAACCCGGCTAGCGCCCAGATGTCCGGCATGAAGGTGCAGCCCGTGGACATCGACCGGAGCGGCAACATGGACATGGCTCACCTCAAGGCCATGGTGCGGCTCGCTTTGGGGGGGGGGGAGGGGGGTGGGGGGAGCTGCTAGTCACGGCTTCGCTTTTAGTGGGAGGGAGAGCAAGAGAGAGAGGAGCGGAGAGGCCAGGGTCTCCCTTTGTAACAGAGCCGCTTGCCTCAATTCCCATGACCATCTGATAAGTAAGGCCAGGCCCTGTTCGTATGCAGAGCCAGTGGGCCTGGGCCTTGTTTGTGTTTGGGAGGCTCAAGAGGGGGGGGCACCACTGTGAGCTGGCAGCCCCCCCTCCATCATCTGCCCATAGCCACACCCACTCGACCACTAACCCCGCCTCTGCCCGCACCGTGGGTTCAGCATGAAGCCCAGAATTTTTATACCAGCGATAAAATCCAGATTTTTTTTTGCGAAAGCTTCTGGGACTCTCCTGGCCAAAAATCGGGCAAGTATATAATTTTAAGGGAGCTGTGTTTATACACATTTACCCAGGCCGCCCAGGGATCAACATGGAACAGAGGTACACATGGCCAGTAGCGTCTCAAAACATTGGTTAATTTGGAATTTAAATAGGACCCCTTATCCAATTTCCCTGCTCGTTGTAGCTTAGCGCCTAGGCCCCTCCGGCCTGCGTGCCCTGGTGCGTTTGCACCACCTGCACGCTCGATAGCTACGCCCCTGCTAAGTAACATCGTTAAGAAATTACGATGGTGTAATTATCAGTTTACGATCGACTTGCGAGCGGTCTCGACGCCCAGCATCGACAATACAATGCTATCGTAGTCCATCGTGTAATTCACCCCGTGTGTGTCCCCGCGTGTGTCCCCATGTGGTCCCCGCGTGCGGTCCCCGGGCAGGCGGAGAAGCACAAGGATAACCTGGCGGCCATCATGATCACGTACCCGTCTACGTACGGCGTGTTCGAGGAGAACATCCGTGACGTGTGCGACCTGGTGCACGCGCACGGCGGGCAGGTCTACCTGGACGGCGCCAACATGAACGCGCAGGTGTGTGTGTCCGACACGCGTGTGCGTACGTACGCACAGGTGTAAATATACACCTGCGGGCGTGCGTGTGTGTGTACGCAATTTCTATCCCGCTTGTTTTTTTTCTCTGATTTCAATTTTCTTTTGCTCTCCCGATTTCTCCTCGGTAGCTTTTTGAAATGTTTTTCTAATGAGCTTGCTTTTTGGTCCGATTCCTGCTTGGTTATTTTGATTTTCTATACGGTTGTTTTGACTCTCCTCCAGTTGCTCCGATTTATGGTCGCTTTTCGTTGCTGTTCTTTGCATTTTTAAATGAAATTTTGCTTTTGTCATTTGGGTGCCCCCACCCCCCCCCCCCCCCGGGTCACGCACTTCACTCTTGCAAATGAGACTCCTCTATCCTATCCTGGCCTCTTTACTTCTTACCCGGTTGCACAAAATCAACTTGAAACTGGAAGCGTGCACGTAATTGGTACACGCACATACATGTGTAACGTACATCATCCACGCTTGGCTAAGTATGTGTACGTGTGTACGTTCAAACCCAGCCTTCTCTCTGGCTTTTGGGGGAAAGTTTCGAGTATTTTTACTGCTTTTAATTTCCACGTGATAGGCCACTTAAATCAGCTATCATTTGTGACCAGGTCGCTTCTGAAAAAGAGCTATATAACTCAATGGGCCATCCCTGGTAAAATAAAAATTGTTTAGTTTAAAATAAAAATGGGTTTTAGTTTTAAGTGTGTTTGTTCAACTTCTTTTGCACCGTATGTATCCAACCTTGCTAATCGGAGGTGCAGGGGAAGGACAACAAACTAAACACAAAGTAGTTCTAACGAAATTAGTTTTCACTTGAAAAGGCAGTGTGCACGATGGTCGGGAGAGTTTTTCACTCCACGCCTGTGCAATTGCCAATGCAGTCCACTACTTTGCAAAAGCTTGTTGTAAGCAAACACCTAATTAAGGCCGGACAAGCGCACGATCAGGTGGTGTGGGCAGCACCACGTCCGGCTTTAATCTCGAGTTTATCTTGTATAACGAGGAACGATCTTGAGCCTCGCGCACGAGAGTAACCTCGAAATGCGGGGTGGCGGGTCACCAAAACCCGGCACTCGTGGGGTGCCCATTGGAGTCCCACCGCCATCTAGATCCACCCTCACCCCTAACCTCTCACCCCTAACCTCTCGCTCCCGCCAGGTTGCGCTGTGCCGCCCAGGAGATTACGGCTCGGACGTGTCTCACCTGAACCTGCACAAGACGTTCTGCATCCCCCACGGAGGTGGCGGGCCTGGCATGGGGCCCATCGGAGTGTGAGTCCAACAGGCCTCGAGAGTGGATGCACTGAAAAGGGGGGGTACATGCGAGAGAATACGGGGGGGGGGGGCTAGGATCAAGATTGAAGGTCGAGCGGTATGAGCAGGGTTTGGGGTTAGGGCCATGGTCAGAGTTGGTCAGGATTAGGGTCATGGTTGAGGTCAAGTTGGGGATATAATCTGAGTTGGGGATGGCGTCCAGTTCACAACACTCCTGCAGGGTTGGGGTCTGGGTTAATCCTCGAGTCGGGGTTATGGTCAGGGCAAGCACTAAGAGTCATGGATGTTTGTAAAGTCATAGCTAAAGTCAGGACAACAATATTTTAGTTCTTGGTCTGTTCTAGATCTTTGGTTAGAGTTTTGGTTCGTGCCAGGACTGATGCCTCCCCCGTGTGTGTGCGTGGCTGCAGGAAGCAGCACCTGGTGCCCTTCCTCCCGTCACACCCCGTGGTGCCGCTGCACGGGCCCGGGGACTCCCCCCTGGGCACCATCAGCGCCGCCCCCTGGGGGTCCAGCTCCATCCTCCCCATCTCCTGGGTCTACATCAAGGTGAGGCCCCGGAGCCTGGGTACAGAAACGGCTTGCGCAATTCTGGACACGGCGCCACGTTAAGACTCGTCGCAACTCAAAATTCTACACAGGATTTCAAAGCGTGAAGCGTCATGAAGTTAAGATGGACCTTTTAAACGCACTTTGATGACGTCACGCCGGCCATGTTGCATGGGGGCTGTCTTCCTGGCAGCTGATTGGTGCAGTAGGGGTGATGATGTGATCCCTAGCAACCGATAGCATGCCCGCAGTCTTGCGATCTCACCTTCAAATTTTTTTTGTTTTCTCTTGCGGCATATCACAGCCTGTCGGATTCATCAAGTATTTACCATACTCGGGGCCCTTGGAGTCTCAATGTGTGCATTGTCTTGTGAAACTGCACCGAGAGCGCTCCGTTACATCTGGATCTACGACCTTGAACATTTTTCTGCATGCAGCACACCACACCCACCATAGCTCCTGCTATGGGCCATGGCTCTTAGTCATGTTCCACTTGCTCCAGTCTGCTACGAGTGACTCGACCAAAATATCGAGTGAAAAACTAATTTCCCGCTTACTCGTACTCCCGTGCACACAAAAGTCTGTTACAATCGGAGTTTCATGAATACGTGGATAGGTGGAGGGTGGGGGGGGGGAGAAGTCTGACCCAGAGGTCGTGACCCCTGTGTGCCGCAGATGATGGGGGCGCGGGGGTTGCGCCACGCCACCGAGGTTGCCATCGTCAACGCCAACTACATGGCCAAGCGCCTGGAGCAGCACTACCGCATCCTCTTCCGGGGATCGAAGGGTAACCGCACAAACGCGCCGCTCTTAAGCGGCACGCACCAGGCTGGCCACACCGCCCCCTAACGAAACGGGACCACCGTCGCCCACCAACCGCACGCCACGTCGCTACCTGCCGCACCACACGTCCCACGTGACACCGCGTCCACAACTCCTGTGCACATCACCCTGCACCACAACGCTTTTTTGTCCTTACCCCCCCCCCCGCACCTCCGATTAGCATGGTTGGCGACGTACGGTGCGAAAGAAGTTCCAACATCCAGCACATGCAACCCTGCTCAACGCATTACACCCGGGACTGCTCCACGGACGCCACACCCCCTCCCGCACACTACAACCATGCGTACCACACCACCTTCACAACACAGCCTGCACTGCTCCCCCTCTGCACCACCCCTCGCCTCACAACACATCCTCTCCATCACTCCCCGGTGCTTACGGTTGGACACGTACCCCCCCCCCCCCCGCCCCTCTCCCCCAGGCTTCGTCGCTCACGAGTTCATCGTGGACGTGAGGCCTTTCAAGAAGTCTGCCAACGTGGAGGCCGTGGACATCGCCAAGCGCCTGCAGGACTACGGTAGGGACGCACCGCGATCGCACCGCGAACCCTGACCCTTCAACCCCTCTAATCGGCTTTTCTGATTGGTCAAGAAATCAATTTACTGTCGGTTTGGGTACTTGTGCATCATCTTCTCACCCCCCCCCCTCCCCACCACCTTCTCTGTCCTGCCCCCCCACACCTCTCCAGGGTTTCACGCCCCGACGATGTCGTGGCCCGTGGCGGGGACGCTGATGATCGAACCGACAGAGTCGGAGGACCGGGCAGAACTGGACAGATTTTGCGATGCCCTCATCGCGATTCGCAACGAGGTGGCTCTCATCGAGGCCGGGCGCTTGGACCCCGAGATCAACCCCCTCAAGGCAAGGGGGTCGCTGGGTGGGGGGCATTCCCCTCCGTATGGGCTGAGAGGCACTAACACGGGGGGCATGGGCGGGGGAGGGGGGGGGTACAGACGTGATGATTATATTGCAGGAGTGCGTGTGATGTCGTGACGATGTTGTGACCATTCGCTCGCTTTCGTAGAGAGCGAATGACTCTGAGGCACGAGGAACCGCAGGCAAGCAGGGAAGGCAGCCGATGCTACCAGCAACTGCCCAAGCTCTGCGGTCCTCTGTAAATTCAGGTGTTATCGGCCATTTGTGGAGTGTCTACATGTGGGAGGTGTTGTATATGCCGGGTATTGAAAATTTGATGAAAATAATAAAATTGAATGAAATTTGAAAAAATGCGTAATTATCCGAAATTATGTTAATTTCTGTAATTATTAATTATGCTAATCAGAGATATAATCGTATTAATTTATGCGACTGTATGCCAATGAGGGCAGTTATGATAATTAGGCATAGCTTCGTTGTCCAGGGTCGTATCATCAATCGGGATAAGACAATTAATTGTATGAAGTTTTGCAGGTGTGATGTAAGTATGCCAGATTAACTCGGCTTCGTTGTCTAGGTTCGTATTATCGATCGGTATAATACAATTATTATCGCTTGAACATTTACTGATTATGTATTAGTGTATTATGTCAGGTCTCCAAATTCAAATCTCACCGAAGGATACAGTTCTTATAATTCAGATTATTACGCATGAACTCAGGAAAAAAACACTCAAACACTTCTGTGTTAAGCAATGTTTTATTTCCAAACAAAACCTTAACACTCTAACATGCGAATTCTTATGCTTGAAATTGTCAACACAGTACTGCAGGAGATGTTCCCCTCATTGAGCCATACATTTAACCCTCAATGATCACGTTTGTTAACTGGTTAACAGAGCAATTGATTACTTCCTCTGAGTAACGCGCGCATATACGGCGATAGGAACCAAAAGTCCTAAAAAAATTCATGCAACGATTTTCATACGAAGGCTATAAAGAAACATGTCCTGAAGGCAAAATATACAGTAATTAATTCATGAGCAAGATTACGTAATTGCGAAATGTCTTGGAACAAGGGTGTGTGGCAGTTTGCCTGCTTCAGCAAATACTCATCAATTGGCTAAGGCTTCATGGATTCATACATTTAACCCTCAATGATCACGTTTGTTAATTGGGTAACAGAACAAACGATTACTTCAGAGTAACACGAGCATATACGGCAAATAGGAATAAAAGTCCTTAAAGTCATGCAACGATATTCATACGAAAGGCAATAAAAGCAGATTATTATACCTCAAAGACAAAAGTATACGGCAAGATTATATAATTAACGAAATGTCTTGGAATAAGGGTGTGCGACTGGGTGCGTGCCCTCCTACGGGAGATTCTGATCTTTGGATAAGTTTTAATTAATTCGTGGACAAGAATATATGATAAAGAAACAGGTTTAACACGATATTCTCTCTGTGAGCGTGTAGATTCGTGACGAAGGTTTCAAAAGTTTAGTTTGTATCGATGAATCTATTGGTAATTTATGCGATTGGAAGTAAAATCACATAAAACAAAATAAGAATAAAAATATATTAATGTACTTATAAACGACGTATTCTTATCACTCTGAGCCGCGATGCCTTCACGGCCAGCTGATGGTTCATGCACTTTATAATTAGTCTTCTTATTAATGATTCGGGTATGTGTTGAGTGGGGATGGTATGGGTTGAGTGGGAATGTGTTCTTGATCAATTCTTTGCGTCAAGCAGACGCCAGGTGATGCGTTGTAATGTGTGGCAGTGTGCGTATCGTACGGATAGCTGGGTTCTCCTTCTTTCACACGGGCGGCCGGAGTTCGGTCCACAGCTGGTTGGAAGCTTTGGCACGATGCTCGCTGTCGGTGCGCGATGATCTCGTCGGCAGGTAGCACCCACAGCTCGTCCGCTGGCAGCTGACACCGTTGCTTGGTGGCGCTGGTGGCTCTGCGCCACGCTCTCTCCTGCTCCGGCTCTCTGGCGATGAACGATGCTTTCGCTCGTTGATGGCAGGCTTGGTCGACGTTTGGCGCTTTCCGCCCTCTCCGACGGATGATGCTGGAATTCTCGTCAGCTTAGCTCGAAGCGCAGTGGCTCTTGTGAGTCGATGCCCAGAGCGGAATTATTTTCGAGCGATACTTCTTCACCCTCGCCTCCACAGGATTACAGGCGCGATGCCACGACAATGGGGTGTGATGTCTGAACGCAGGTGTGACGTCACGATGGTAAAAGTGGCATCATGGTGACAGGCGAGAGATGACGTAATCCATAATGGAGGTTTTTGTGGGTTAGATCGCGTAAATGATAAATGTGTCGTTAGACCCGACACAGCCAAATGCGCAAGGTTTGTCACGAAAACAAAACATGACAATTATTTACTAGTTAAGCACACTGGTGTTTTGGAGAGTAAACCCACTATTTAAAACCCACAACATTGTAACATTGTAAATGTTGTGGGTTTACTCTCCAACGCGCACCGGTGTGCTGAACAAGTAACTAATTGGCGCGTTTTGTTTACGTGACAAACCTTACTCGTTTTCTGTGTCGGGTGGTGGCGGGTTTAACCACACACAATTTACGCCATCTGGCCCAAGAAACCTCTTGTGGATAATGGTCACGAAAGCCTTACTACTACTACTACCACTCTGTGCTTAAACAGATGATGTCATCGTGCTGGTCTCGCCGCTTTGTCGTTGCCGTGCGGTGCAGATGGCGCCGCACACCCTGGCGTGCGTCTCGGCAAGCCACTGGGACCGGCCGTACAGCCGCGAGCAAGCCGCCTTCCCCCTGGTGAGGCCCACGGGTGCCCTGGCCGCTGTGTGCCTCCTCCTGTGGGGCAGCAGTGCTTGTGGCCAACTTTCTCCCCCCCCCCCCCCCCCCCCCCACACGATCAGACACCACTACCGGATGAAGGCATTCCCCCCCCCCCCCCCCGAGCCGTCGCCATCTCCCGCGATTCTATGAGGCACCAATTCACCCAGCGCCTGCAGCACGCACGGCTGATCTCGTGGCTCCATCTCTCCGGTGGACGGTCCCCTCTGACACGTTCCTTGCCATGGAACATGCAACATGCCCGGTTTTGGTGTAACACTAAATATGGCCCTGAGACTGTGGTGGAAGTTCCATGTTGCTGTGGCAGGGGGGGGGAGGGCAGTCTATCCACAACACCTGTTGACTAGTGGGGTAATGATGCAGCAATTCCTTGCTTTAATATAAATTATTATACTCATGATACGTGTAGGAATGTGTTTTGAATGTACGTAATGGGTTCACGTTAACCCATGCCACCACCACTAGAGTTCACTACATTAGACTCGATGAAAAAAGGGATATTTTGCTTTTGGATCTCGATACAACATCGTGAGATTTCGTCAAATTGCAATGGAGTGCATTGTTTAATACCGCCTTATTAAGTCATTCCAATGGCCTATTATCCGCACAAGAAACCGTTCATTAATCGGTAGGTCTGCGTGTGGTGGGATACAAGTGTGGGCACTCCTAACATGTGGAAGAGTAGGCCAAACACACTCCAGAGCAGTGTTCATTGCAAGGACCGCGGGCTACGGGCGGCCCCTGGTGACTTTTACAGCGGCCCCTGACAATACACAAATGTGAAAACACTCCCTGCAGGCACTGTGGCGGCCCTCGCACCGATGATGTCTTATCGGCAAAAGTGCCCCCCCCCCCACCACCTCTGAATAATCTGTGAAGAACACTCCTCTAGAGCGCACCCTGGTGGGAGTCCCCCATTGCCAGAATTGGCCTGAGCAAGCAAACTGCAGGCCTGCGACCTTCACCTCGGCATTGACGCGGGCGCGCGTGTTGTTGTCGCGTGCGAGCAGCCGTTCGTGAGGCCCGACACCAAGCTGTGGCCCGCTGTGGCGAGGATCGACGACCTGTACGGAGACCAGCACCTGGTGTGCACCTGTCCGCCCATGGACGCCTACGAGTCGCCCTCCCCGCAGAGAGCCTCCTCGTGAGGCCCACCCCAACGCACGGGGCCTTTACTCCCGAGGCCGGTGATGCCTTGTCACGGGCTCTCGGCACATTGTGGCTGTGTTCGAGAGGCCTTTTTGACGTGTTCGTTGCGAGGCCTTGTCACGTGATGGACAGGAGGCCTAAGTACGCGTGGCTTCTGTGTTGAGGGCCCAGTCCTCTTGAGATGCTGCCCGCGCGAGGCTTTTGACGTGGCGTATCTTCTTACACGACACACATCACGCCGCAACGTGTCAACGCAAAGTCTACGCGCCAGGCTCGCCGCACCGATACCCAAACATCAAGGGGGGGGAGGGGGATAGACACAGGAAAACGAAACAAAGACGCGACACAAGTGAGACGGGGTACTGCAAGACACAGGGACATGAGACACTAGACACAAAACACATGGGATGAGACGCGGGGAGCCTGGAGCCGGTGTCTCCGACTTGAGACAGTGCGGCAATGTGGGAATATCTTACCTTTCTGTTTAACTAGTTTTTACTGAAATAACCGTAGTGATTTCCTCGTAGGGGTACAGTCGCTCGACGGCAGTGGAGCAAGAGCACGTGGCGAGCGCTCCGTGCTGTGACGTGTGGTGGTGACGAACAGAGTGCTGTGGTGACGTAATGATGACGGCGTGCGATTGTTAACGCCACCGCGTGGGTCCTCGCAGCTGTGCTGCACAGCGACGCCATTGTGCGGCTGTGGTTGTTTTACCGCGCGTTGTTTTTAGACCTCGTATCTGGCAACGTGGAGCGAAATTCTGAATACCGTGCCCGAAAACGGCACGTGTGGTAGAACCCGAAAAGACATTGAATGAAGATGTGCGGTGGACTGGTGACGCTTTCCATCTGATGGACACGATGATGTTAATGACGATGTTGTGATTGCGATGTGACGAAAATTCGATGTCTAAACGTGCGGGTGATGTGTGATGGACCAACCATCGCGACATTTGCCTGACAAGCCCGACTGGTGGTGGTGGAGTTGCTTGTGGCGAGGTGGTTGGTTGCTGCGTGCGCGTGTGCCTGAGGGGCCGTCCATAAATGACGTCACGCACCTGGGGGGGGGGGGGGTCAGACATTTGTGACGATGTGTGACGGGGGGGGGGGGTTTGAGAAATGTGACGTCACATCAAAATGCACAACTTTAAATATAGAATTGTTATAACACTAATTGTTATAACAACACTCCTACAACATCAGAGTGCAGCGCCACATTAAACACGCACTACTATGACAATAGTTTAAAGCGATTTGAAGTGTTTTATTTTCAAAATGGAAATATGGTTTGGGGGGGGGCAGAGCTTTGACGTCATATTTGGGGGGGGGGGGGTCAAAAATCGCGTGACGTCATTTATGGACGGCCCCTGACTCGCTTTTATCAAGTGCCTGGCGCTGTTTGCCATTGACGAGCGATGCCTTTCCGTGTGAGACCTAGCCACCACCACGTGCCCGTGGGTTTTAGTGCGTTAACGGGAGAGAACATTTAGTACAAGTATATGTTTGACGACGACGACGATGATGCACTTTGTGGTAATACGTTTTTATCAGCATTCCGAGTGAGCAATAAACGAGAGGTTGAGGTGGACCCCGGTGGCTTCTGCGTCCGTCTTGTGTTTTGAAATCGGAAGATGCTGCGAATCGAGCCGAATGGGTTCGGTAGTCTCGGCCCAGTCACCGGTGAATCGGTTCGGTTCTGTTAAATCACGATGAAAAATCCCCATCGTTGCACGTTCGGAATGAAGAGATCGTGAGCTCCAAATCGATGATGACAACACATTATTTTTTTGCGTTAGAACGCGTAAATGTAAATGTTGTTCGACCTGCCATCACCACCACCCGACACGGCCAATTAGGAAAGTTTTTCACGTTAACAACGCCTGCCAATTCGTTACGAGTGCACAGCACACCGGTGTGTTGCAGAGTAAACCCACAACATTTTATAATTAATGAAATTTGTATGACTGTAACCCGTAAAAGGTACGTGTATCATCACGCTGAGCAGGGCTGAGTGAGGCCTCCATTAACCACGTGGCTGGTGTACACACACGAGTCTAACTGATGCTATGGGGGGGGGGGGGGGGGTGCTGGATCGTCTGCTAAATCCTCATGTAATATCTCTTTATAAAGCCACAGTTATGCGTCGAGTTTTTTTGTTTACCCCACAGCCAACGCAACTCGCAGCATCGCCACCAGGTAGTTTCCACGTGGAGAAGTCCGCTGATCCACGTTGATCCGTGTCATAATGGTGAGGGCGACCCCTAGCGGACGGTGAGAGCGGCGTTCACAGGGGGACTTAGAGGCGTTGGGGCTAGACTCCTGTGGAGGGGACGGGAAAATGGTTCACGCGAAAGGCAGAGATGATGTGATGATGAGTGTTCCGCACTTTGCCATTTATGAATCGTGAGATTTTGAGTGGACACTACCCACATTACAAACTAGGGTTTTAACGATTCTTTGATTGAAGAGGTGGGGGGGGGTCAACATCGGTGCTTTATTGAAACCCAGAGGAACATCCATGCCACCCATCGATGTGTTTTGTCCATCCCTACACCACCACACACACACACGGCTGCTCTAGGGCAGTAGTTCTCAGTGTGGTCCCCCGGTACCACCAGGTAGTCGGTGCCGGATCTCCAGATGGTCTAAGGGGCTTTGATACAAACGCAGGTCGACCCGGACAATAATCACAACCTTTTGGTTCGGACATTAATTAGTATTTTACTTTTGATATAACAAAAAAATACGAAGGTAACCTACCCTGATTAAACTACCCTAAGAACTAAATGCAACAACCGGCGTAAAAAAAGAGTAAGTTCTGATATGGAAAAAATAAGAATGGGTTTTATCCTTTCTAGCAATAAATACAGGTGTTAAGATGTTCAAACACCAAACAAACATGCTCTGATAATGACATTGTCTTTTAAACTTATTGGTCTACACCAGAGACGGCCTTCTTTAGGGCCTAGTCTCACAACCAGTGTCAGTCCAGAGAACGCCAAAAGATGAATGGCACAAAGACAATGCCATCATCAAGGCATATATTGCTCTGGGTGAGCAGCAACAACATGTGACCTTTTTTTGGCAGGATCAAAGTATGAAAATATGAGAATAGGTGTTACCCTACGATACCGACGGCCCGAGTCCGATTCCCGCTCACGGCCAACACCAGTGACGATTATCTAAACCGGTCCTGGGCCTCCCCTAGGTCGACTCTGCTTCAAATAAGTGTCGGGATACGGTGCGTAAACATCGCCCCTGGGGGAGACAAAGACGGCCGAGCGTGGTGCTGGCTGCCCCCCCTCCTCCCCCGTGTACCGTCCCGACACTTGCCCAACAGTCTGTTAAGGCTATATGGGGGGGGGGGGGGGGGGGGGTGGGGTCTTTTCCTTTACTGAGGTTTGGATCCTCATGTGGTTTGAGCAGTGCCGAAGTCCCAGGGTCTTTAACGTCTCCGTTAGAGTCGACACACGCGTGACATCTGCGCAGCAGTGAACAATATCGGGCGACTCGACGGGACCCGGTGGTTTATTTCCACAGCCAGCCGAGCCGTTCGAGCGGCCTTTGCTCAAGGCAGTCCGACACGACTTGGGAGTGTTGCACAGCGTACGGGGTTGATTGCGGTGGCGAGATGTTATCTCACATCGCATGGTATACAGGAGGTCGTGGGTTCGATCCCGACCATGACGCCTGCATTTTTTGGTGTTTGCGTGTCTCTCTCTCTCCCCTCTTAGTCGCGTGGATTTTGTCCCATGGTCATTTGGTGTTTCCCCTCCACGTTTAGAATCAACGTGCGTTTGGATTGTTTGGCTGCTAAAATTTTCCACGCGTAAAGCCACTTTGTCAAGTTGTCATTTGTCACCAGGTCGCTTCCGAAAAAGAGCTGCAAGTGGGCCTTACCTGGTACGTACAATACAAACACATTCCTGGGGAGGGAGCTGGTAGGAACGTTGGGTTGCTCGGTCAATGGCCAGGGTCAACGGCGGCACCACGTGGTGTATTCCGCAAATATGCCCGACTGTTAGGGCGGGCACAAGCCGGCGTGAGTAGGTTAAACGTTGAGTTTTATAAGGGCACCACAGGGTGACCAGCCCCTCCCCACCCCTCCCATTTTTGGATGCACGACGGACGGACGGACACAATAATCCCCTGTGGGCTGGTGTAACCAGGAGGTTCCTACCAGTAATAGTTTCGTATTAACTCTCGCGTGTGAACTGTGAGTCTCGCGTCTCGTGCGCTACGAGAGGGTGATGCAGTGTGGCCTTCACGAAATGTGGCTGCACATCAAGACGCTGCTCGTACACGCGCAGGAGCACACGTGCGTCTTGGGACGAAATGGAGACAGATAGGAGGGTGGTGGGGGGGGGTCGTGTTTTGATATCTGCGCCTATACACTACAGATTCACATTACAGAGCCATACACTCGCAGATCTATGGATTCATAATACCGAGCCTTACACACACAGAGATCTACACACTCAGATACCCAGACGTTCCCAGGACAGCCGAGCGACCTCGTCTCGCCAGCAGCGTGTCCTGGGCCGGCCCCGGGGGTCTTCGTCCAGTGGGACGTGCTGCCCGGTAGAGTTCCACAGGGGAAGTCTATCGGGGGGCATCCTTACCAGGTGCTCGAACCACCTCAACCTGACTCAGACGGACCTGGACCTTGGCAATGGACGTAAGTTTTAGAATATATAAAAAGTATAAAAGTGGGTCTTGAACCCAGGTCACCGGAGTTAAGAGGTTACGGGGGGGGGGGGGGGGGGTCAACACTCTGCCAAGCAAGCTTGTTGCATTCTGATCTTCCGATTAAGTAATTGTAAGTTTGAACGAATATTTTTTTAAATGCTTCAGATAGTTTTTTGACGTTAAACAAAATATCGAGCAAAAAACTGCAATGAAACGCAAGGTTTAGGCGACTGATTTAAATAGATATCGCTGGATTTGAGACCGTGTCCCTGTATCCACAGCCCTGCACAACCCACTGGGCTACCCTGTCATTGACATCTAACACATTCATTAAGAACACTCTCGTGGCCTTGACAGGAAAAAAAGTATAACCAGGCAACGCTTTGGGGCACTGGCCCTGGTTCTTGGCAGGTGTCTGTGCATCACTGCCAATACAGCATCACCAAATTAGGTCTTTAACGTGGCAAAGGAGAGCAGGGTTCGAACATTGAAGAATAAAAAACTCACCAATACATCGAACACTTTGATACTTTGAATGATATCGATGTGCCCCAAAACGTCGGAATGAAAACATTGACGTTTTCTGCCACGGTTTGATATTTTTCAACGTGTTTTTTAAAGTCACAATTTATCTTCTCGGATCGCGTTGCTGCAGC